ATTATTTATGGTTGTTTGATAAGCTTGAGAAAATGAAAAAAGAGAGGTGCTGGAAGAGCCACTGAAAAGGGGGCTGGATTAGCCTATAATCTTGCTAAGACTAATATACTTACCCTGGCATAAACATTACATATACACAATAGACAATCGCACAAGCCCAAACACGATTCAACGTTGGATGATCGTACACTATCTTATTTGTGTAAGGAAACAACTACCACCGAAAGCTCTTTGGTTCGTGAAGCAACTGCCTCATTTGCAAACATGTAGAGTATGGTTGAATTAGCCAACCTAATCATGGGATGCCTCATTAAGATCGCGAGGTTAGGTTTGTAAATAGAAGAGGTTAGAGTTGGAGCCGGCCACCTTTTCTCCTGGTTTAGCATACTTTGCTATATTTCATGACGAATAGATTCCTTTTTGGATGATGTTTGCCATAGTACAGATAAAAGCTTAGCATAGGTTGATCGTGATCGCTGAGGTCTTCTTTCCACAATACCACAGCCTTCCTTACGCGGCAATCTTCCTTCGGTTTACGTGAAGCCACATATCGCATTGCTTACAACCAACTTTTCCTCCGAAACGCAGTCATGTCACAATAAGAAATTTCCCCGGAAGTTATTAAACATATTGGCTAGTATGTACATTAAGGGAAAATTTTGATTGAAAGCATTTATTCATTAAAAATGAATGGCTATGCCAAAATAGGCTTAGCAGATTAAAGCACTAGCACGCATATCTCAACAATCACAAATCAAGGGCAGTCCTGCCTCGGTTGTCAGTCGTGCCAGTTCACAAATGCTTTCCACCTAACTTTTAAGGCTAGATTCAAGTTATCTCATCAGAAAGTTGATGAGGGTTTCTCTGAATATTCATAAATCTACTTTTATTTCATTTTTGCATAACAAGAGCTACAGTTAACTGATAAATTTTTTCGTCCTCCACTTTGTTACATTATATTAACCCTGGTTTCATGTCTTCCCCTTGATCCCACGACCTGGCAGCGTATTAAGAATAATTCCGGGTGAATCAATTTACACAAATCGCTACCTGTTTTTAATTCTATATTCTCGACTTCCTGGTTTTTGCCGTCCACAGATTTTCAAACCCCGTGCTGCATTTTTGAATCTCTAGCATCAGGGCCCACCTCACTTTTAAATTTGCACGTCTAATATGCTAGCTCGGCCTAGATGAAGTTTAAGCCAGGGCATCACTGGATTAGAACGAAATCTTGCGAGAAATTAAAATAAGTCCATAGTCGTCCTTGGTCACCTGTCAATTTATGTAACGCAAAATGATAGTTTGCATGTTGAATTTTAAGGATAATTAAAAAGTTTCGATGCGCACGTCTCTTCTGCACAGTTTAATAGACTTGTGCCATCGCAGATGCATAAGGCGTAATTAGACGGCATGCTAGAGATCGTTAACGAAAAAGTTATCTTGCTTGAAGGTTATTTTTGCTTTGTCGGCTTCTGATTGGTGACGAAGACTTGGCTAATGATAGTGTGAAAGATCCGTCTCATAGGCCTAATAGCAAGTTAAATGAGGTTTGCGAGATGGGCGGGTCGGGATGAGAGATGCTCACATTTAGTATTGATGCGAAATGTGTGTAGGAAGATAGATGCGAATGTCCTTTCAGGAGGCTAATCTTTGCAATGAGTAAAGGGTTGTCACTACACCAGTGCGCTTTCAATGTACAAGCGGTCTTATAATGGCTCATTTGATTAGAAAATACTTAGTGGAGGTATCTGTACCAAAGGGAAAGTATTGGTAAAGATTGCCACCTTTCTCCAATAAGCCCATCCAAATAGACACGTATAACTCATTAGAAGAAATTATGAGTTGAATATAGATATTTAAGTTCTCACAACATAAAATGGGAGGATGATAGAGTTTATAGACAAGAAATAGATGAGGGAAAGGTTTAATAATCTCTCACTACTTCTGGTCAATACAATTGTATTCACTCTTTGCAGCTAACTTCTCTACTTAGACGGACGAAGTGTCTGTAGAAATATTCGGTTTATCACCCGAGTTTTAACAAATGGCGAAGGAAACTGATAAGCCTCCATTTGTGAAATGATGCCATATCAAAATGATATTTGTAGCAAGATATAGAAGAAAAACCTAGTGCAAATAGAAGCGGGGATACGACTAAAGGCAATTTTGGGTGTAAATAATATGAATTGTCTGTTAAAAACCAGGATTAAAAGCCCAAACTTTATAGCATAAAGGATATTGACTCATTCCTAGGGTATTGCATATTATTTTGCAAGTGTGTCGTCAAAATGACTTAACGGAAGGTGAGTCTGTCGTATTAGGCGCACCTAATCTGATAGTAAAATTTTGCACGCTGGATAAAATTCAAACTAAGCGTAGATAACCTTGATGGGTACTGTTTTATAACCAGTATTAGTTTTTACTGATTTAAAAAAAATTAGTTCGTAAAAATAATTTATGAAAAATCTATTATGTACAAGGTAGGTCAAATAGAGATGTGAAGATTTGGGTAAATATTAATATCATGGATGCATTGCTAAAGTAAACATCGGAGAAGAACGAGTAAAGTGGTAACCAGGTAGAGAATAATGGGTATAGAAAGTAGAAATCATTAGTTGTAATAGTTAAATAATTGAAGCCTAAGAGTAAGGATTTTCTGATAGCTGGTCGCGCCCCAAGTCTATAGTCACAAGCAGTACAAAGATACGTAAAGAAGTTCAATAAGGTATCCTTGTTAATGATTCTGAAAATGGATAAAGTAGTTTAGAAAGAGGTGTGCTTCTATTGATGATATCAGCGGCAGAACTACCTTGAGCATTCTTCAGTGTATGAAGATTAATGTCTGGCAGCGAAAGAAGATAGATCAATGTATGAGGAGTACGGTAATTGCTGGCTGCTAAATGAAGAGGCGTCTGGCCACTTGCTGTAACTAAGTCAAAAAAGGAAAGGATAGATAGTAAAAATAATTTAAAATGTGTGCAAAGGGAGATGAAAGTAGAATTAAATCAGTTAAGATAATATTATAACGCCCATATTCCTTTATCTGCTATGACTTACTAGCATTGTAATCTGACCCTGCTTCAACAAGCACCCGAACACATTCAAAGTGGTTCCAGAATGCGGCACTGTGCAAAGGTGTCCATCCATCGATAGTGCGCGCAGTAAATTTGGCACCACGAAGTAATAGATACTGGTTAAAATTTCAAAAAATAAATTATTAAGTGAGATGTGCTTGCTTTAAAAATAAATATTTATTAAAATCAAAAGATTGTGCTTCATTTTTAGTGACTGACCACTCGCATCCCTAAGCTGAACAGAGAAAGCGCATTTTAACAATTACTACGTCTTCTAGTGCATAGTTCAAACGATAGAAGCTAACCAAGGCAAAGAGGTTAATATTAGTGAGATATTGCTACGGATACTTAGGTGACTCGAAAGGTATAAAGTAGAAAATATATAATAATCAAGTTAATGTGATAACTTGCAAAATGATAGGACGCGTGTTTTGACTCATAAACACCCAGCAATCTAATACCAACGAAGTTGGTTATGAAAACAGAAGAGGAGAATTACAGCACTAACATGAAAACATAATTGTAGACATCTTTAATGATAAATAACTCGCTTGGGATTGTCTTAGTACGTTCAATTAAGTATGAAAAGCTTTAATGTTCTTTTATATCATAAATAGAAAAGCAATAGCTTTGAAATTAGTGCATGAAACAACGTAAAAGCCTAAGCGACGATGCATAAGAGAAATCGATTTATGAGCAAAGAAAAATGTATTTAGCTAAACAACTCAAGATACACTAATTGGCTTGTAGTGTTCAGGGTTTAGGAATCAGCTTAAGTGTCACAGACCACTAAGGTACATTGCCTAAACAAAGTACT